GCTGTTTCTCGCTCGTTATCTCCTCCCTCAGCCTTCAGGGTGGAGGCTCAACCTTCAACTCCCTTTCCCCCATTTCCCTGTGCCTCTTTTTTAACTTTCAGAAAACACTGACACTTTCTACGTTACTTTTGGCCCGCCACACAGTTTCGGTGACCTTCAAAACTCAGCTCAGAGCAGAACGAGGTTTTGGCCGCATTTTCCGGTGTTGCCTGACCCAAAGCTTCAGGAATGTGATAAGAAAGTTGAGTTCTGAACCGAGCTGCCGATAGCGAGGTCTCTTTAATTAGGGCGTTATCAGAACCAGTCCTGATTAAAATGTGCTGAAAATAATTGAAAGTTGTACATCTGTTGGAGAACGGGGCCCGCTGGAGGCATCCAGTTGTTGGAGGAGCCCAGCTGGATGAAAGGCGAAGGAGAAGAAGAAAACTGGGCAGAGGTTTCAAAGCCTTAGTTTCCTAACCCCCACCCCATCCCAGACTTGGCAGAAATGTCATCGCAGAGCCAAGGTAGCATCTTTCCCACGGTCGGAGGAACCGTCTAAAAAAAAAAAAAAAAAGGAGTTCAACCTTGAGGAGAGCCAAAGCAAGAACATTTTATCCATCCACAAAAAGAAAAAAAAAAAAAGGCAAACACCCTTTGACGAATTCCTCCTTGCCGAAGGAGGAGCACCCTCTCTGCGTGCCGCCGAAAATAATTGTGGCTAAGCCGCAGTGCTGCACGTGCGGGAAGGGAAATCCGAGTCGAGGGGATCCCCCGAGCCCGCATCGAGGCAGCTCGGCCTGGCAGAGCCCGGCAAGGAGCCGGAACACCGTCCCTGCTCCCCGCCACGGAGCCTTCCCCAGGCTCCTGCGGGGCCTCGGTGCCCAGGGCCGGGGAGGTGCAGAGGTGTCAGCCCTTCTGCCCCGGCTCTCCGGGCACGCACAGGTGCGGGGGTGTGCGGGGCTGGTGGTGCCGCGGGCCGAGCACCGCCCGCAGGGCGCCGAGCCCGAGTAAAGCCCAACGTGGTTTAACCCAGCTTTGGTGGGTTAAAGGCTCCGTTTCTACTCGGGGTGGTTAAACCCGGGCGATGGTGGTTAAGTAGGATGGCGCGGGGTCGCAGCTATTTTGTCCCTGGCTAACGCAGGGCCGAATTTATTTCCCTCACCCTTCCCTCCATCTTCTCGTCGCTATTTCGGCCCAGCGATTACAAATCCTCTCCGATGTCTAAAATCCTTTCAGATGTCTTTTAAAACTCCCCGGCAGAGCCCTTGTCCCGACGGGCTCTGTGCCGCTCCCCTCCCGTCCCGTAGCCGGAGCCTGGGACCCCGCGGGACACGGAGCTGCTCCGGGACCTCGGCGAGGCCGCGCCTCTCCCCAGCTCCAGGGATGCTGCCAAGCCGGGACCGGCAGCAGGGCTCTGCGGTTTCCGACGTTGGATCCCGGCGCCGGGCAGACCCCCGGGGCAGGGGCGGGGGGTCGAGGGTAGCAGAGCGGTGGTATCGGGACTGCGACCCGGCACTGCCCGGGGGGCCCGTGCGCGGCCGCGCTGCCGAACAACCCCTTCCCCTCCACCGCCCCTGCCTGTCCTCGCTGCAAACATCGCTCCGGAGCGCCTCGGCGGCCAGCACCGAGCGCGTCCGTCCGGCCTCGGCCTCTGCTCTGCCCCGTGCCCTGCCGCCAGCGAGCGCGGACAGCCCGAATCGGGGATGGTCAGCCCCAGCCCCTCTCCGTGGGTACGCGGTTGACCCCTCGGCGCAAGCCCGAGCTGCGAGCTGCCAAAAGCAGTGAGACGCCGGCGACTCATCCCGCTCTGGCCGAGCCACGCACCCCCTCCCGGTCCCCCGTCCCTCGGGTTTCGAGGCCGCCACAGCCCCACTCCCCTTGGTCAGACTCTCCCGACGCCTCGCCCGGGGCCGGGGAGTGCAGGGCAGCTCACGACATCCCGCGGCTCCGGGGCCACCTGAAGGAGAGGGAACAAGACCCGAAAAGTCTCGGGCAAGCTCCCCTCAGGCTATCCCCTTTTCCCTTCTTCCTCGCGTTTGCACCCACAGATATTTATACTGCAGCCACTGGAAGAAAAACGATTAGATGCTGATCCCGGTGCCACAGGCAGATGACCTGCCGCCCGGCCGTTCAGCCCACGGGAGTTTCTCAGGGCTGTGCAAACACCGGGGACCGCAGAGAGCTACCGCGCAGCCGGTCCTGGAGATGCTGACAAGAAACGACGAGGCGGCCCTGTTTGTGCACTCCGGCCCGGAGGTTTTCAGCCCTCCCGAGGTCAATTCGACAAGGGGCTTGAAAACACTAACGTGCGGACGGCGCTTTTCGGATTCAGGAGGAGGTTTGGAGGTACACCCCACACACACCCCCACCCCATCACCCCCAAGATATGTAGAGGGAATTGTCTCGGGCCACCGGCCCCACCTCCATTCCAGGACTTGCGCTGTCTCCGGCCCGAACAAACCTTTGCGAAGGCGAGAGGCTGCTCCAACCCGGGCAGGGGGCCTGGGGGCTCCAGCCGCCTGGCAGAGCCATCCACTGCCCCACGGGAGGGGTGGGGGGGAGCAAATCGTGGCTCCTAAAGCTCCCCGGAGCGACGTGGCTGCCGCACAGGGAGGGAAGGGAGGCAGGGGGAGGCTGGCTCGCCTAACCCGGCTCGGCTGCCGCGGAGACTGGGCTTGCTGTTTACATCAGGCGCGGCCCGGCCCGGCCCGGCTGAGCGGGAGCCTCCGGGGGCCGCCCCCCGAGCCCGGGGCGCCCGGCAGCGCGGCCCTTACCCTGGTTGCGGATCGCTTGCTGGCTCTCCAAGCAGTTGGGCAGGTAGGGCCCGTTGGGGAACATCCGAGCCTGGCCCGAGGGCGGCTGGCTGGGCGGCGGGGCGCCGAAGGGCCCGTAGCGGCAGGCGCCGGCCGTGCCCGTGAACTGGCCGGAGAAGTGGACGGTGAAGGCGCTCAGGTATTGCTCCTCGTGCGGGTCCGACCCGTTCCAGCTCGGCTCCTGCTTGATGAAGGAGTGCGGCCCCAGCGAGCCGTAGGAGGCCCCCGGGGGGAAGTCCAGGACGGGCGCCCACTGCGCCGCGCTGCTCACCGGCATGGTGCAGTTGCTGTTGCCCGGCAGGGAGGGCACGGAGGGCAGCAGCGCGTTGAGGTCTCGGACGTCGGAGCCCATCTGCTCGCAGACCTTCTGCCTGCCGCCGGGCAGCCAGTCTCCCCCCGGCCCGCACTTGTTCCAGGACACCTGGCCCCTGCCCGCCAAGCCGGAGGCCGGCTCCGGCTGCAGGCACCAGGCCGAAGAGCTCAGCCCTTTGGGGGAAGTTTGCTCCGCGACGCAGCTCCCCGGGTCCAGCCCTGCGGGAGCCGGCAGCAGCGACAGGGAAAGGTTGTTCTCCAGGATCGCCTCCGGGGTTGCACCCGCTCGCAGCGCAGGGCAGGGTGAGGTGTGCCCGTGTCTGTGTGTCCGCGTGTGCGGCGCGTCTGTCTGCGCGTGTGTCCGCCTGTCCGTGCTAGGGGGGCACAGCCTCCTCGCACGCCTCACCTCGGATGCCTGCTCACCCTCAACTTTGCAAAGCTCAAATAGAGGCGCTTGCAGGGGAGGAGGAGTCAGCACGCCGATCCTCCATTCACACAACCTCCGCCGAGGGGCTGCCCACAGCCCGCTCTGCTGAACCCAGCCGGACCAGACACGCGGGGGGGAGGGGGGAACGAGGAGAGCCGGGGATGGAGGGGGAGAGGTGACTGTGGGAGAATATATCTCCCCTACGCATCACTCCCACCCTTCTTCTGGTGCAAGCGCCACTAAATCTCACCCTAACGTCCCTTCGCTTTGGGGGAGACTTGCAAGACTGTTAGAGGGATCCAGGTGGCCAGTAAGTACGTGCTGGACGACTTCCCCCGCCAGCTCCGTGCGTGTCCGTGGGGACTCCGGAGGGCTGTGGGGTCGCAGGCCCCGGGGACCGCCCGGGGAAGCCTCCGCCCTTGCGGGAGCCAGGGGAAGTGACACAGCCCTTTGCGGGCGGACCCCGTTCCTGCGAGGGGAAAGTGTCTTTCCAGGTGCCTCTCTCCCGCTGCGGGAGGAACCTGCGTCTCCACGAGCTCCTGCGGGGTCCGGACTGCCTGCCCGTGGTCCCGCACTGCACACCGGATGTTCCCTGTCCCTGGAGGCGCAGGGCCGGCCGTGCCAGGGCACCGAGGGCTCCGCCGGCGAGGGGAGGGGGGGACGCCCTTTGCAAGGGGACCGGGCTCGGCGTGTGCCCAGTCCTGGCCCTATCTGTCCGACCTATCTGTACGTGACAGGGAAGGAAGGGTTGGGCAGGCGGGGGAGGATGGCAGCGCTGTGAGCAACCTGCTTTTGAGAGATTCACCTGGCACTGCTCCTGGGAAGCCCCGGAGTCTCTCTTTCCTCCCCAGCCTCCTGGACAGCAGCTCCTCAGCGCGCATTCCTGGGCAGCGGCGGCGGCGGGAAGGCCCCCGAGGGCACCTTACACGTTTATCCCCGGACGGTCCTTCCTCCCAGGAGACACGGAGGGTTTCGGGGCGGCCCTGGCAGCGAGGGGTGCCATGATTCTGGCGGTGCGGGAGCTCACCTAGACCGACTGTCCCGGCAGGAAGCCCCCGGGGAGGGCGGCAGAGCCTGCCGGGACCCGGGGCAAAGGTGAGCCCTCAGCCCCTCTCGCCCCCGCGGGACACGCTCTCACTAAAGGCAATAAGAGGGATCCTGCCGCCTTCCTTTGGAACTACTAATTAAAAATCAGCCGGGGTGGGGGATGTTGCTTCTACGAGCACACGTGGGACAGCTCCCGAGGGTTGGCCCCGGCGCAGGGCACTCGCCAAGTACCAGACCCGCCGCTCTGTCCCTTGCGCATCGTCCTCGGCCGCTTTTAAACCGCGGCACCGCAGATGCCTCCGGGGTCCCCTCCCCCCCGCAGAGCCGCGTCCTACCCGCACCTCACCCCCCTCTGCAGCGAAAGCAGTGACAGAGACGCCGTGAACGCTTACCTGCCGCAGGACAGACCGACCCTCTTTTCTTCCCGGTGATAATGTGCACTTTCGGTGTTTCCTTCCCGCCGCGGCATCAAAGGTTACCGCCAGCATCGCCAATTTTGAAGCGATGTTTTAAGATTCAACGGGTAAATTCTACAGCAAAATAAATCAAAATAGGTCGTTATTGGTGTAGCCAAGTATAAATTCATATTCCCTTAAGACTAATTAACCGTGACAGTCGGATTTTGTTATTAGTGAAATTTACTTTATTTTTTCACAAACTATCTTCAGATAATTTCCCTTAAAAATCTCTCTTTTGATGCATAAATCTACTTATTACAGAAATCTACGTGTAACGTAAGTGCGAAAGATTCGTTGATTATCTCTGCCGATAGTAAATATCCCCTAAGCTTAGAGGATCTGCCGCTTCTTAAGACTCTTCAGCAAACTAAAGCACCCCCGGATGGCGCTTGTGAAGGCAGCCCATGCCCGTGCGGGGGGACTGCGCTGCCCTCGCTGACACTGCCGGCCTCGGCGCTTGCTCCCGCTCTGCCTCCCGCTCTGGCCGCACCGGGGCTCCCGCACACCGCGCTCGGCCCCTGCCCGGTACCCGCAGGGGCCTTGCGGGGCTGCGGGAAGGTGCGGGATCGGGAGCGGGGCTGCTGCTGGGTTTGCTCGTTTCGGTGGCCGACAAAGACATGAGGTTTGTCGGACTCGATAGCTTAAAGGTCTTTTACAGCCTAAACGATTCTATGTTCGATTCTATGATCTTCGGCTCTACGATGGACAACGCACATACAGAAATAGAAGTCTTAGGCCAGCCCAAGCAGGGTATTTAATTTCCCATGAAAACTAAACCTCTCTTGGTTAAAACAGAAAAAGCCTTTCCCGCAGTGGGCTGTTTTTCGAAATAGTGTGGGGTTTTTCTCTTTTCTTGAAATAAACTAGCTTGATAAATCTTCCTGAAAGGAAAAAAATGTTTTCTTGATCGCTTAGGTCTGCCGTTATTCCACCTGAGAGGAAGAACTGCCGAAGCCTTTCCGAATCTTCGCCTCTCTCGCATATCCCAGTGGTGAAACAAGACGACCCCTTGTCCATCAGCGCATCCTCCCTCCCCGCGGCTGCCAGCAGCCCCAGCGAGGATGGGGAAAGCGGCGCTCGGCCGGGGGATTCCTGGGCTGCCAGCTCAGTTCAGCTCAGCCCAGCCCTGCCCGGGCATCCAGGGCTGCTCAGCCGTGCGGGGAAAGGAGAGAGCCAGGCAGGCGCGTCCCGGGATGTCCTGGGAGAAACCCTCAGCGATGGAGCCTGAGGAGGGGGAGGAAAGCCCGGACCGTTCTACCCCGGGACGGGCTGGGGACTTTTGGGAAACGGCCAGCGCCACTTCCCGCAGCCGTTCCGTTCTATCCAGCACCAGGGAGAGTGAAAAATCTCCTCTAGCCCAGGTCGGGAGCACTGGCGGCAGGTGCCCTCGGGGGCGCCCCGGCAGCCGAGAGGAGCTGCTCCCCCCGTGCAGGGGACGCTTGCCTGCCTCTTCCCCAGAGATCCCGACCCGGATTCCGATCACATGCGGCGTAAATCTCTCCAAGTTCCGCACGCCGGGAAAACCCAGTTGAAAACAATGGCCGGGGAGAGGTGGCAGTTCTGGGACAGCATCTCCTTTGTCCGTGTCCAGACCCAGGCGGCCCGGAACGTTTTGCCCTCTTTCCTCCAAACACGGCCCTATCCAAATCTGTGACAGGCAGCAATTAGGCTTCATTGTGCTGCCCGTTGTTTCATGGCTATGGTAATTCCTGATAATGCTTAATCTTCGATTGTGCTCGAAGGCATACTCGACAAGATTAAACAACAGATATTTACCGGAGTAGGAGTATTCTATTGAGAGTCCCACTTGATCCTGGGAAAAACAGGATCGGGAACTTGCTCCAACCTGAGCAGCGCTGAAGCACCTCCCCAGCCGATGTTTTCCCGTTCCGCTTCCCTCCGCCATACTAACCAATTATGGGATCGGTAATTCTTACTACACTTTTACTAAACCCATAAATGATCCCCGCGCGGCTCGGGGGTGGGGGAGACTGACTTAAACAGAGATAAATCCCCAGCCCCTCCACGCCTGCTCACGCCGCTCCAAGCACGCAGGGGGATCTATCTGCTTTCACTCAGGGAGCTGATCAGAGTTTGATTATTTAAGCGCCAAGAGCAGCAGAAACAAAGCTGCGAAGTATCTCCAGGAGCGCAGGGCGCGGAGGGGCAGGAACTCATCACTGCGGGCCCGATCCCGCATTCCTCACTGCCGAGCACTGCGGGAGCCGGGATCCGCGGGCAAGGCGGGACCGGCCTTCCCTGTCCGGGCTGACGGGGGCACTGGAACGCTTTCGAGCTGGATAGAGGACATTTTGTTCATCCGGTGAGGGGAAATGAGTTTTGGGTTTTTTTGTTTTGTTTCGGGTTTTTTTGATGCGCAAAGAAGGGAAGATGCGCGACCTCTCCCCGTCCCTCTGCTGACAGGAGCGGGGCACAGGCGGGTCCCTCCGAGGCGGGACCCCGGCCCAGCGCGGGGCGGGGTGGGAGGGCAGCGGCGGTGATAGGGAACAGCCCGAGGGGTGCTGAGCATCTCCCTTCGCCCCGGCTCCTTCCCCCGCTGGCCGCGGCGAGGGCCGCCCCCCCTCCAGCGCCGAGCCCGCCGTGCAGCGGCGGCGGGCCGGGCTCGGGCCATTGCCGTCCCGTAAATCTTGGGAGCGCTGGAACTAATTACGGAGAGGATATGTCTCAATTTGTTCCGCATTAGTGCCGCGCCGGGACGCAGGCACCGAGCACGGGAAATTGATGGGCCCGGCCCGGCCCGGCCCCGCCGGGACCGCGGCCCTGACCCCGCGTTCAACCCGCGGGGCGGCCCCGCTCCGCCTCCCGCACCTGCCCCCGGGCGGTGCCCGCAGGGCTGCGAGGTGGGGCTTCAGCCAGCGGCGAGGTACCACTCCGACAAATTTATTAGCGTGCTGCTAAGACGAGGCTCAGTATAAATCACGGGGCTGTATAGGGTCATAAAGCATCCCCGTGTATCCTGCCCCTCGCCGGGGTTCTGGTGAATAGGAGTTCATGGAAAGCCGGGTATCGGTAACATCTTTCAGATCTGGCGTGTGTGACGTTTTTAGAGTCTTAGATATACAATGGGATATACTGAAACTATTACATAGAATTTTTATAGGTATTTGGTACTTACATACAAAAGAAAATTGGGGGGAAATGGTTCTTAGGTAATATGCTCAGTTCTTCACAATACCTCTAATGGCTTTGAAAGTAATAAAATTATTGTTTTGGCAGAGGAAAATAAAAATATTCTAAAACTTAGTACATTATAAACGGATGTAAGGTAAATGAGATCTAAGGAATTAATTTCTCCCTGGTTGCAGAATGCAGATCCCACTATAAAGGCACACTGAACTCGAAATGTAATAATATAGAAACAACTCAGTAACAATACCTTGCATGGACACCAATTCAAAGAATTCTTTGAGCCACCTGAGCACCACCTTTGAATGCGGGTACACATTAGAAACATAAACGAAACATTTATGCATTCAAAAGAGAAAGGCTCCAGCTGAAGTGTACCTGCTATCCCCAGCCACACACTGCAGTATCCCTGGTACCTCACGGGTAAGGAAAGGCAGCAGTAGCCTCAGGTATTACAGGACAGGGACAGAAGATGAATTATCCTTTACCAGTTTCTCCAGCAAACTGTCCATGAACATGTTTTCCTAAACACTAACCATCCACGCCTTTATCTTTCAACTTGAACAAACACACTTTAACAACGCAAGCAACGTCCAAATCTCACTTTGCTCTTGCAAAGTCCTTTTGCAGCCCCTGTGCAAAGATACTCTCTTGACCAGTCCTCCTCAGAGGGAAACCAGGGGCTCCAGCAAGCTGGTCTGTCTTAGGTGAGGATCTAAACCCCTTTCCACTGGGTTTTGTTCTCATCCTACACACCTCAGAGGAATTCTTCCCTGTAAGCCCTTGACTAAGGGTGCTGTACAGCAAGAGTGGTCCCACTGAAATCATTGCTTAAGGATGTCAGTCCACCAGGACTTGGCCCAGGAAGTGGGGAAAGCCAAGCATGTCCTCTGCCTACAGATATTTGGTGAGTGTAGAAGACAAGCAGTGGGGACAATGAGCCCACTGCCTAAAGCAGAAGAGAAACAAAAACTCCTGAATTCTGTTTAATACCTCCTGCGTGCTCCAGAGAAATAGAAGAGGTGACAGTAATTTTGCCAGAACAATGGGGGACTCCAGCAGTATTTGTGGAGTGCTTGGAGACCTTGGGTAAGCAAAGAAATGCAGATGGCTGCATTATACAGCACAGCTCTGTGCGATGTGTCAGTGATGTGACCCGTGAGGGGGTGGCAGGGCAGAGCTCGAGCTGTGTTGCAACACATCGAGTCCCTCCTCCCAGCCCCATCAGCACAGACCCGCCGACACCCACGGCTCCTTCACAGCCTGGGCAGAGATTCCACTGCCCCCAGTCCTCCAGCACAGCCCTTTAGCTTCCTTAGCAACTGAGCAAACCCAGTCCTTCGTTATCACAGCTACATGAAGGTGTGTGTCTCTGTCTCTGGACTACATGTACTGATACGTGTGCATTGCAGCAAAAAGCAAAGATCATTTTTCTCGTCTAGTTGGCTGGAAGCAACAGGCGGCAAAAAATGTAGCTCCAACCGAAACGAAAGTTTTCCCAGTTCTTAATTGTGAGCCTTCCAACTCAATATGTTTTTTTTTTCTTCAAAACTGAAGCTTTACAGCCAGTCTCTCTCCCTTGTGTAGGTATGACATGCTGGTGTATGGGATGCCTGGTCTGGCCACGAGCGTGAACAGCCATCTGAAAACTCCATGGCTCCAGGCCATCAGCCCAACAGAGACCTGCTACAAGCAGAGAAAGGAGCCCTGGTGTCCCCCACAGAATCAAATACAATCCCACCTGGCTATGGAGGTGCCTGCATGGTTCTCATCAGCCTGTCACTGCAGGACTGGGCTGTTTTCACATTTGTGTCTGTCACTGTCCAGTTGCAGCCTCTGCTGACCCTACTGCCACCAACAGACCTGTCCCACAGGGCTCGTGCTGAGAGTGGGACATGCAGGGACAGTCAGTGACTACGCTTGCA